CCGCCTCAGTCTTGCATGAACTGCTCAATGTGAGAACCGAAATAGCGGCCCACCGTTTTCAATCAACCCCGCCGATTCAGAAGACTTCTCATTTCTCCGAGCCCTCTTCAGGAGGGCGGCGACAAGCACTCTCACTCCCCGGCATAGAGCGACGCCACGACGTGAGTCTTCTGGCCGGGTCGGCTGCTCACCGTACAGCGGGAAATGTGTGGAAGCCCGTTTCCGCCAGGGAGTAAGAAAAAAACGCGCTGTGGTATCTCCGAATTCCGACTTAGTAACTCAGAATTCCGACTTTATATCTCGTAATTGCGACTTTATATCTCAGAATTGCGACTTAAAACTCAGAATCATGACTTTATATCTCGTAATTGTGACTTTATATCTCACATTTGCGACTTTATATCTCACATTTGCGACTTCGAAATAGCCCATATTTCATTGTCTGTCCTTTTGTTATTGTAACGGATTCGGGTTCTAGGGCTTGTGCCCTCGCCTCTCCTAACCTAGTTCGTGCCTCACTGCATTGGCTCGGACCCGGGTCTTGCCAGCTGAGGTAAAGAACACTTTCTTCAGCCCCGGCGGCCAGCATCCCTGTGATGCGCAGGGGAGGGCGGTGCCGTCACCACACTGCAACCAGATCGTACAACCTGTATGTTGGCCGCTCCGTTACACTATATTCATAAATCGTACAGGATCATAGGATCTATAGGCCTGAAGACTTGTCTTGTACAGTGCCCTGATAAAAATCAAATTAATTTCACTAATTTTTATAGAATCCCATTTCCGCCAGTGAGGCTTCCATAGTACCCGGATGGAATAGTGGACGGTGGGCTTTTTAAAAAACGTTTCTGTTTAAACACCAGAAATACAAAAACGGAGACAGAATATGAAATAAGATACAGAAATAGACACTTCACATCCAGAGGAATTCACAATTATAAAATCTGAAACTTATACTTTTTACATATTTCCATTGTATGTCCTTTTTTACTTAAAAAAGAAGGTCTTTAGCTCAGCTGGCAAGACCTGGGTCCGAGCCAATGCAGTGAGGCACGAACTAGGGTGGGAGCGGCGAGGGTTACAATAACAAAAGGACAGACAATGAAATGTGGGCTATTTCGAAGTCGCAAATGTGAGATATAAAGCCGCAATTACGAGATATAAAGTCATATTTCTGAGTTTTAAGTCGCAATTCTGAGATATAACGTCGGAATTCTGAGTTACTAAGTCGCAATTCTGAGATACCATAGCGCGTTTTTATTAACTCCCTGGCGGAAACGGGCTTCCATAGGGACTCGGGCTGTCCGAATAAACCTGCATATGACAGCTTCTCCGGAGAACAGTGCAGGCTTCGAGCCTGGAGCTCAGGAAGCCTCTTTAACGGCGCAGCGGAGAGGACGGTTCAGCTCCCGCCGGGCGTCAGGGCGCTACATCGCTGCCGGCGGCGCTGTGTCCCTCAGAAACCCGGGGCGTCGCGGGCACTCTGGCTTTCGTCTCGTTTCACAGTCTGCCGGCGCTGCTGCCGGCTGTAGCGCCATCCGAAAGCTCTTTACAGAAGGGAAAACAGACTAGAAGTGAAGGTTTTTGGAAAACCGAGTGTCGGGAGGAGCGGCGCGGTGGTGCGGCAGCGGACTGTGCTGTCTCACAGCGCCGGGTGCTGGGCTCGACTCTAGCTGCCTTCTGTGCGGAGTCTGCATGCTCTCTCTGTGTTTGAGTGGCGCTCCAGCTTCCTCCCGCTTTCCAGAGACGCGGAGAGTGAGGAGGTCGGTTTCCGAAGTGTCCCCACGCTGTCCCGCGATGAAGTTCTCTGATGCCCGAAGAGGGTCCATGTGTCTGAGACACTTTCCAAGAACGAGCGACTTTCTGATAATGGATTGTAAAGCTATGATCCAAATACAGTACAGGCATCGCACCGCTGAGAGGTCAAATTGCATAGTGCAGGTGTCGGAGAACCGCAATCCAGTTACTCTTTAAGGCAACTTCTTTCTAAATAATTGGGGGCACACCTGTAAATTACTGATCCTTCAGGCAGGGGGCTTGCTCAGTTAAGGGGACTCTGAGCTGACGAGCGCGCTCATCTCGCTCCCGAATGATCACCAGATCACTTCACCCGACACATCACCGGCTTTAGTCGATGGCAGTGAAGTCGTGAAATTGCTGACCGCAGC